CCTGGAGCTTCTAACAAAATCTAACAATGCAGGGACAGAACCTTGCCTTTGGCAGAAGGCTTTCTGGGACTTGGCATCATACCAGCTGCCAAATAGGAACACACACAAGTCCCCCTCAACACTTCACTGTACAATGCAATCTGGACCCAACCCAAGGGGATTTAATCACTGAAGAACCAAAGACACTTCATTGTAAGTTATTGTCATTTCACAAACCACTGCCCTTCACCTCCACGCCTTTTACCTCTTCACACTGAGCAGCTTCCAGAGCAGACTCAACCTGACTCATGCTGTGCCATCTACCTGATGCTTCTACTTTAGCCTGAAATGTCTGTGGGGTCTGAGTTGGGAAATGTATACAGAAAGTATGCTACATAGGACAAAACTGTGAGGTAAAATTCAGCCATGAGCATGCAGGTTTGGAGCAAATGCATCAAACTATAAAAACTAGTTGAATTGGGGCAGTTGGGGGCACAGTGGATAGAGCACCAGAACTGGAATCAGGAGGATCTGAGTTCAAATCCGACCTCAGACACTTGACACTTACTAGCTGTGTGACCCTGGGCGAGTCACTTAACCCAGACTACCTCATGCAAAACAAAAAACAAACCAGTTGAATTCACAGAAACCAAGAACATGTCCCTGAGCCAAATGCTCCTACTCCTTTCCCCTCCGACCCAAACAAAAGGTGATTTTGTATATGTTTCATATTGATTTATTGTTGTTCTCCAACCCAGAGGATAAATGTAAACTCCTAGAGGACAGGGGCAGTTGTCATTTTCGTTTGTGTATACCCATCACCTAGCACTGACTGACTCATTTGTTGGTTAACATGTGTTTGTCAAATTGAAATGAACTGCTGAGCATGGGCCTAAAAATGAATCTTGACCAATGAAGTAGAAATGATCACGGAGGGGGAATCTGAGAGCTGGTGTTTCAGATGAAGACAACACAGTTCTTCATGGTAAATTACTTAACTTGTCTGGGCCTCAGTTTCTTCATTTGTAAAATAAAGGGTATGGCTTAGATCTGTTAAACCTCTCTTATGGACTTAATTATCATGTAAGTTATACTACAGCTATCTGTGTACCCATCTCTGAACCACAAGTGTCTCAAAAATAGATACTCCCCCCCAGTGCTGTGCACATGAAGTACTTAATAATAATCGATAGTTATTTATTAAGCAATTGGTCAGCCAATAAGCATTTATTAAGTGCCTACTATGTGCCAGGCTAAGTGCTAAGGATAGAAAAAGAGGCAAAAGACAGTTCCTGCCTTCAAAGAGTTTACAATCAAATGGGATTGTATTACAATCAGCAAACAATTATACAAATAAGCTATGTACAGGATAAATAGGAAATAAGAGAGGGAAGGCACTGGAATGATGAGGGGTTGGGAAAGTACTTACTATGCAGTGGGCTCTTAGCACACAAAGGAAAATGAAACAATTTTTCCCTCAAGAAGTTTACATTCTGCAACCATGATTCTAGAGGACTGATAACACTTCACTACTCAATTTCTGACAGTAAGATTTTGGATTCAAGATGCAGAAGGAGATATGCATTTTTGGACATAACGCGAAAATCTGTTTTGCTTGACTAACATATTTGTTACAAAGATTTTGTGTTTTTTTCACCCTAATGGTAGGGGTAAGAGGAAAGGAAATGAATGCTTGTTAATTGAAAAATAAAACAAATTTAGAAGGCCCTTGTATTCTATTGAGAAGCACATACATATATACAAAAAAAATGTTGGTTTTACAGTAGAGGCACTAGCAGCTGGAGGGGATTCAGAAAAGGCTGCCTTACGGTAGCCTCTGAGCTGAACTTTAGAAGTCACTTGGGATTCTAAGAGGTGAAAGTTAAAAAAGACTGCATGGCAGGTACAGAGGACAGACTTCACAGAAGACGGAATTGGGCGATGGAGTAATAACATGTTGGGAACAGTAAAATAAATAAATAGTATAGCTAAATGTTAGCGTGCATGAAGGGAAATAATGTATAATAAGGTCAGAAGAGCCAGGTTGTGAAAGGCTTTAAATACCCTATGTTTGTATTTGATCCTAGATGTAACAAGGAACCACAAGGAGCTTACTGACCAGGGTAGTGACATGGTTTGGCATATGCTTTAGAAATATCATTTTGGTATTTGTGGGAAAGATGAATTGGAGAAGAGATAAATGTCTGCTAAACAGAATCTCTAAGGTCTCTTTCTAGCTCTGAAATTCCATGACACCTTCCTCCGTTTTCCCCACAGTGAAGCAATGTTATGATACAGTGTATAGTTACATTACATTTATGAACAGTTTGTATCTAGCTGCATAATATACACATTTACCCAAAATTATTTTTGCAAATTCTTTTAAAAACAATTTAAGAATCACAGAATGTCAAATCCTATTATAGAGGTCATAATAGAAAATGTTCTACTGCATTATGTTGCCTCTGATTGCTAAGGTTCTCTGGCTCTGACATCTTATGAATTCTACCTTATATTGACACAATACTTGAGCTTTCTCACAGGCTCTCTTTTGACTGATAAGGAACGAAATGGGCTGGAAAAATGCTACCATCCCCATTTCACAGATGTGGAATTTAGACCCTGAGTAATGAAACAATTTGCCAAAGTCACAGCTGGCTACTGGCAAAGGCAGGTCTTCTCACTCTTCTTGGTGGCCTAGTAGATAGAGCACCGGACCTGGAGTCAGGTAGACTGGTAGCTGTGTAACCCTGGGAAAAAGTCACTTAACCTCTGTCTGCCTCAGTTTCCTCATCTGCAAAGTGGGAATAATAATAGCATCTACCTCCCAGAGCTGTTGAAAATAAAATATTTGTAAAGTACTTTGCATACTTCCAAGTGCTATATAAATGCTCATTATTGTACTACCCCTAGACTACTATATTCTTGAAAAGTACCTACACTCAGACCTGCTTTGAAGTGACTTCTTGCAGCGCCTTCTACATACTGCACAAAGGTAAGCTGCATTAAAACAGCAGATTCCTAAAAGAGGATTAAATGGATATATAGTGTTAGCAATAGTCTTATCACAAAGAGATTCAAGCCCAGCATTGGCTCCCTAGTTACCTAGGTTTCCTCAATAATAGCGTAATGAGATGCAGCCATGGTATAGAAGAAAAGCGAAAAGCCTTGAATCTGGAGTCAAAGGGCTAGGCTCCAATCCCACTTTCTCCATTTATGTAACCCTCAGACAGTTTTCCTCTATGCCTCTCAGTTTCCTCTTCCTTAAGATAGTGAGCTAGTTTAGATGAAATCTAAGTCCCTTCCAGGTCTAATTCCTATGATAGCAAAAACCAGTGCAGTATAATGGGGAGAACACTGGCCTCAGAGTCCTGAAGATCTGGGTTCCTAATATTGCTGCTTGACACTGACCAGCTGTGTGACCTGTGGAGGTAGCATTGTACAGTGGGAAGAATACTGGTTCAGGAGTCTGGGTGCAAAGCCCACCTCTGACAATTACTACCTGAGTGACCTTAGAGAAGTCATTTGACCTCTCTGGGCCTCAGTCTCCTTATCTGAAAAAGAAGAGAACTGAATTAGACTAAGGCCTTCCAGCTTTAGAGCTACAACCTCTCAGTTCCTCACTTAACCTCTCTGAGTTTCAGTTTCCCCCCATTTGTAAAATGGGGCCTATACCACCTGCACCTTATGTCATGGGGTCATGAGGAACAAAGAACATATGTCAGGTGCTTGGGAAACTTTAAAGTGCCATATAAATGCATGTTAAAGTATGACCAATATATCTTTCCTATGCAAGCCCTTTGATTCCTGCCCCCCCCCCAAAAAAGGCAGCATAATTCTAAGAGGCAGAGACCCTGCACAGGACAGGGATCCATGAGTCGACTCAAATGGCATCTGGATCCTGTCCTTGATGCGCAGGGCACAGCACTGGAGAGCAAAGGTTCTCTTCTTTTCTCAAGTACTACTTTTTTGCCATTTCTGTGGCCCTTCAAGGTCTGCCCTTGATAGTCACTTAAACAAGATTCGCAAGGACACTAAATGGGTGGCCCAGAACACACGTCTGGCTGATTCCAGGCCTGGCACTGCTCTAGGGAAGGCCCTGGATATTTTCTTTTAAAAGATTCCAAGAGAGCCGTTAGGTTAAGCAAACTAGTCTGCTTCAATCAATTTGACACCACAAAGGAGTCATTGTAGCAGAAGTAGAAAGCAAATAGCAAACTCTGGGCTCTTTGATAAGCACCCAAAAGACTGCAATTAATAGAAGCAAAGCCTTCCTACCATTTCCTTCTCTTCTCCAGCTCCCTCCCCCCCCCCATCTTGGAAAATTTACATTAAAGACTTAACATAAGCTTAGCTTACAAACAAACAAACAAACAGCCCACACATCTTTTTTCTTAGAGTCCATTCACTCCCTCAGTCCCGCTCGTTTTCCTAACTTCGGCTCAACATTCGCCCCAAGCTAAGGAAGATGTAGATGACAACTATCCCCGGCTGTTTTCTCTTCCTGTGCAGCAGTGAGAACTCTCCTTCAGCCCTAGGCTCGGACTTCAGAGGCTAGGCCGAAGCAACAAAGACAGGGGCCTGCCTGCACTTGGATGGCAAACCCCGTCCCCTGCCTCTTGCAGACGGCGAGCGGAGCTTCGCCTTCCTCCCCACCCTAAGAGCCCAGTTCAAAGATGCTCTGGACCGGCCTACCTCCAGGAAGGCCAGGGAATCAGAGTCCCCCTTCCCCCACGGGCAAGCGAGGAGGCGTCTCGTGTATTCACTGCCTCCTTGGGTCGTCCTACCTGAAGGGGGATGGGGAAAGGGGGAGGAGGCTGGGGGAGAGGCCCCGAGGATCCCGATCTCCCCGCACTGAGAAAAGGAAGGATGCTATTCGGAGGCCCAGGGACTTTGACCTTTGTGTGCACATGCAGACGATGAGATGCTCGTGGTCGTGGGAGGCAGGGGCACTTTCAGTGGTCCTGCCTCAGCGGGGGAGAAGAGGGAAGAGAGAAGAGGGAGGTCTGCGCATCACTCACCTCCTGAAGTCAAAGGGCATGTTGGTGCCGGCCCCGAGACTGCAGGGGACCACGGCCGGGCTGGGGATGCGTGGGTTCGGCGCCCGCCCCCTCCCCCGGGCGTTCCTCTTCAAGCCTTGCCGGTTTCCTAGCCGGGAAGTGACGGGGCCTTAGGACGCTTTGCAACAGCCCATTGGGCGCTGGCGGGAGACGCTGGAGCGGCTACTTCCGCTGCCCAGTTAAAGAGGCCCCGGGAGCAGGCTCTGCTGGAGGCCACGTGGAGGTACCGCTGAGAGCTGAGCCGCTGTGTGACAGCGCGGGAAGGGTAGGGGGCTGGGGGGGCGGGGGGCGGGAAAGGCTGTGTCCGGTTCGCTTTGTGCCTCCGTCCCTAACCCCCTCCCCCTCGCACACACCACACACACACACACACACACACACACACACACACACACACACCCCCTCCTCCTTGGGCTTGTGCTGGTGGCACGCAGCCTTCCAAATGTTCCTCCTCTCTGCGCAAGGGCAGGTAGTCCACCATCCTCTGATGCTCTCCATCAACGTCCCCTTCCCCCTTCAGGTAGGAGGACCCACGGAGATAGAGTGCACCCAAGGACACTGCCGTTGGCATCCCGATTTCGGACATTTTTTCTAGTTGACCTCATCTACCTCCTGGCTTTCCTAACTTCCTTCAAGTCCCAGCTAAAATCCCCCACCTTCTACGGGAAGCCTTTCCTGATCTCTCTTTTATTTAAAATTTTTTTTTTACCTGATCTCTCTTAATGCCAATCCCTTTACTCGGTTACACTGGTCCCTATGTTTGTACCTCATTGTATTGGTATTCTCTCCCTTATTAGACTGGGAGCTCCTTGAGAGTAGGAACTGTCTTTTTAGTCCTTTGTGTCGCCAACGTTTACCTCGCTGCCTGATGGTGCCTAGCACATTGTTATTGGAGTCGTAAGCGATTCTAAGTGTCTCACCTGGCGTTTTCGTGGCAAAGATTCTGGAGTGGTTTGCCATTTCCTTCTTCAGCTTATTTTGCAGATGAGGAAATTGAGGCCAACAGCGTTAAGTGACTTGCCCAGGGTCACACAGCTAGTAAGTGTATTAGGCCAGATTTGAACCCAGGAACATGTTTCTTCCTGATTTCAAACCCAGTAACCTGTCCACTGTGCCTCCTAGTAAGGGTAATAAATGCTTATTTACTGCCTGGAAGTGAGGACACAGTTCCTCTGGGCTTTATGGTGGTGGAAAATGGGTCCAGCCTCTGCAAAGACTCATGCATTAAGGACAGGAGTCCATAGACATGTATTTGGCCTCTTCCTTTGGAGCCAAGCAGTGTGCCCTAGTCATTGGGGAAAACTTGACAACCCAAGAGTCTGGGAACCCCTGTCACCACCTACTTAGGTCTGGCTGAGGTTTAAAAAAAAAAGCTTCTCCGTCCTTACTCTCCTGAGGGGAGTCTAGAAGAGTCCTTGTGTAGAGTTAGGTTAGCTGGTCCAAGACAGCTGAGTGGAAAGATCTGGCCCATAACTTTGTATGTAAATAGGCGGTGTAGTTAGTACCCCACCTTTAACCCTGGGGCACCTTCATTTACCTGAGCCAATTCCTCTACCTTCCACCCACTCTGTCTCTTGATTTTGTTCAACAAATATAATGTTGAGTACCTGACTATATCTTGTCCCTGTGGTGGGATGGATATTAAGAGGCATAATTAGATTTTCCTGTCCTAAAGTGAGTCTAGAAAGACAAGTTTTATACACACTCACTCAATGAATATTTATTATGAAACGTTTGCCTCCCTAAAGGCTTTAAAATTCTATTTTCCCAGTAAGGTAGGTATTGATCAACCAGCTAAGACTTTCTATCAGGCACTGTACAGTAGCATTACCCCCCTCTTAAGAAAATGAGGTGAAGTGAATTGCTGTGTTACATAGGCAGCCATCTGACAAAGCAGTCTCGAATTTATGTAGGCTTAGAATGATTAAACATTTAAGTGCATAGCACAATGCTAGGTAAGATTAAACTAAGGTAAAGGTTAAACTAAGAGAGTCCCGTCCCCATGGAGCTCACAGCTCACAGTTTGGGGGGGGGCGCACCACACAGACACAAATAACTACAATATACCAGTCTGTGTTTCCTCAATCCCTCCAACATTGACTATTCACAAGTCATTCTTTTTACTTACTATCTAGGTGACCTGGTACAAGTAATTTTGGATCCCCTAACCTCAGTTTCCTCCTTTTGAACCAAGAGGTTTGGTTTCTTTTAGCTCTAGATTCTACAAATCAGAAGTTTTCAAAGAAAGTTTCCTAGTCTAATTTTGCAGTTTAGTCTAGTTTCTTAGATCATTGAATTGCTGAGAATAGCCAGGTTGTTCATCATACAATATTGCTGTTGGAATCACAGAATTTCTGAGATCATCTAATCCAATCCCTTTCACTTCATCCAAATGCAACCCTTTGTTTTTCTCTTGAAGATTCCCTTGGGAAAGCTGTAAACAGGTGCTAATTGGGTTTTAGAGAAAAAGTAAAGTACTATTCTATTTTTTATAAGTGAAATAGACTCACAATAGTCTATAATGAAAATAGTAAGTGTTTTGTGATGTCTTAAGGGAAGAATTGTTATAGACCAGGAAGGCTTCATGAAGGAGACGGCATTTGAATGGGCTTATTTCAGATAAAGATTTACCTCAGATAGATTAGATTTACAGATGTCTGGTTTACCTAGCGACCTCAGAGGTTATCTAGTTTGACGCCCTCATTTTACAGATGAGAAGCCCAGAAGCATAAGTGACTTGGGGAAGCTCAGACAGTGGCAGAACCACACTTCAAACCCAGGTCCCCTGACTACAAACCTGGTATTACCCATTTCTAGGTACTAGCCATTACAGCTAATGACATAATGGGCAAATTAATTCCCCCTCCTTTGTGGCCTCTGGAATTTTCCTTCTTAGTATAAGTCAACTTCTCCCTCTAAGCCAAAAGTCTCCCCTTCCCAGTTTATACCTAAAGAGAGGCGGCAAGACCCAGAGCTAAGAGGGGAGGTCAGAGGGTAAGACTCCATGTTACTGCTTTTCAATCCCAAAACTGGCAAAACACTGTGATCTACCCTTACTCTATCTACCCTTACTCCAGAATGGTATTACTACTATATGCCCCACTCCTACCATGGTTCCTATAAGGAAATACTCTGGATAGTGAGTCTATTTTATTAGTAAAATATAGAACGAAAGTACTTCATCTTCTCTTTGTCCAAAAACTCAATTGGCACTTCTTTCCAAGGGAATCTTCAAGAGAAAAGCAGAGGGATGCACTTAGATAAAGTGAAAGGGATTGGACTAGAAGATGATCACTGAAATTTGGTAATACCGGCTGCAAAACTGGAATATACATATCACCTTTTAATTTTTAAAATGTTCTGTTTCTAGGGCTGTATCCCAAAGAGATCATACAAATGGGAAAAGGACCCACATGTACAAAAATATTCCTAGCAGCTCTTTTTGTGGTGGCAAAGAATTGGAAATTGAGAGGATGCCCATCAGTTGGGGAATGGCTGAATAAGCTGTGGCATGTGAATGTAATGGAATACTACTGTGCTATAAGAAATGATGAACAGGCTGACCTCAGAAAAACCTGGAAAGACTTGTATGGTCTGATGCTGAGTGAAGTGAGCAGAACCAAGAGGACTTTGTACACAATAACAGCCACGTTGTGTGATGACTAATATTGTTAAACTGAACCCTTCTCAGCATTGCAAGGATCTAAGACATCTCCAGAGGCCTCAGGATGTAAAATGCTGTCCACATCCAAAGAAAGAACTATGGAAGTCAAATCGCTATCACTTATTTTTAACTTCTGTTGAGTTTTGTTTCATCTTTCTGATGGTTCCTCCTATTAGTTTTAATTTTTATCTACAACTTCACAATGTGAAAATATGTTTAATAGGAATGCAAATGTAAAGCCTATATCAGATTGTGCGCCGTCTTGGGGAGGGTAGGTGGGAGGAAGCGGGAGAAAAACTTTCAACTCAAGAGCATTTGGAAGTGATTATTGATAAATCAAAATAAATTAATGAAATTTAAAAAATAAAAAAAATTTTAAAAATGAAGGGAGAGTGAAACTGGGGGGAAATTTGGTGATGTAAAAGCAAAATATATCAATAAAAAGTTTATTTTAAATAATAAAAACTCACATTTATAAAGCAATTTAATGTTTGCTAGATTTTGAACCCTAGTCTTTTGATTCAAAATCCAGTGGCTGTTACACCATACCATTTCTTCATTCTTTACTTATATATGAGAAGAATATTTTCCCTTTGGGATTATGTGATAGGTTACTGCTGCCAAATCCATCACAATGCAGAAATTATAGAGGTAAAAATCTAGGTTTTGTTATGCTTAAGCACAGGTTTAGGAAATGGAAAAATAATGCTGAACTGCCTCTGGAGTTTCTAAAGTTGCCTTTATAGGAAAAATTACATCAGAAATAGAGAAATTATTTTATGTATTTCAATCTTGTATATTCTTTTAGGCTATCAAAGTTAAAAAAGTCAGAATCACAATCCTGTGTTTCCTTCAATGTCATTAAGGTTGAACAAACTAAGAACAAATTAATAACCTAAGTTATAGATTTAAACACTAAGTTTGCAAAATTCTACACTTAGAAAACCACATTTTAAAGAATTCCACATTGGACTAATGAAGATAGGGAGATTTACATGTCACAAAGATAACCAAAAGGCCAGTGTTGGAAGTCTTTCTACCAATAAAATCCCTTGGATGATTTTAAAGATTTTGTACATGCTGTCTGCCCTTATTCCTGTCTTTTGGTTTCTTATCTTGGGAAAGTTAAAAGTCTTCCCTTAATACAGGCCTGCATGACATACAGCCCAAAGGATTTCGAGCAGCCCGCAAAAAAATTAGAGGATATAAAAGAAAGTAAAGATGTAAAGAGTGCTTTGTACTAGCCCTGCTCTGTGATGAGCAGTGACTACATGAGGGCTTCTTCCCATCCCTCACTGCGCTGCCACTTTCCAAATTCCATGAGGGTCTGGTGTGCTTGCCAAGGTCAAAAGTTCAGTATTTCTTTGTATTTGAGCAGTTGCTGTGGAGATATTTTGATTCTAACATTAAAGTTTTTGGG